ATGTATGTATGTTTGGAAATACATTTTCAGATTGGGAAAATGATAACTTATAAAACATACATACCTCCACTGACACTTATAGCTAGAATCCCACATTGGGAAGGTGGAGGGGCGATGAGGACAGAGTTCATAAAGAAAATGTCTGCATAGAACAAAGGTTACCACTAGAAGTGATACCCAAGCAGGGAAACTGCACTACATCCAGAACAGGTATGCTCAACAACCAGAACTACAGAAAAGTGAAAAGGGTGGAATATTACACAAGTAAATAAGATGGGTCAGCCCCAACCTCGCGGCCGAGGTACCACGACTCAGGGCTGGATTTAAGGGGTCATGGTACCCATATCCCCCATTGGTGGCAAGGGTAGTTGGACTGCAAACATATACATATCTTTGTGATAGGATCCCCACCAGTAGCCACGAAATGATACTTTTCGAACAACCAGATTTATGAAAGAAAGAAACACCAAAGTGTATAATCCTTCTGATCAACCTGAAGAAGTCCAAAAGGCAACATCCCAGGCTTGGATTGACAGGATCACATATGCTATACTCCATCCAAGGTCTAGAACTCATCCGGTCTGGATTTACGAATGGTCATTTTCACTCCCCAACCAAGTGGGTAAGGAGAATTCCACTTACCCATGGAATTATGGAGAGGACATAGAACACTGTTCCACCAAGGGCCTAAGATAGGACTGCACTGCTTTCAGATTTATGAGGAGATAGTGGACCCCCTACATGAACAACTTAAGACCTGACAGTGTTCATAAGATGGTCCAAGCACACACCCCCACCAGATAGCTAAGCATCAAATCTGGACCAGTTTTAAGAGTAGGTTCCTGCATAGGTTGGTCCTGCTCCTACTGACATCTGGAAAAAACTTCCAAGGACCCAGATAGGAGGGTCCCCAACTTCACCCTTTTCTCCGAAAGTGGAGAAAACACAACACTCCGAAGGAAAATCCACTGTCCACTGCCCCAGTGACTGGAAACTGGGTGTGTTAAGGACTCCCTAGCTCCACTAATAGCAGTAGGGGGGTCACATGTGCACTGGGGAGTCCTGAGGAACAAGTCTCCGGAGACACTGCATCAGGTGAACCATGTTCCCTAAGTTTTAAAAGCAAACCAATCTCAACTGATTCAGCTCTAAGATCAGCAGGGTCTGACAAAATCCCCTTAAGCTTTACTTATCATAGTCCATAAGTAGTGGTCCATTGGATTTGTATTGTGAGATAATACTACCATCTAGAATTGCACCTAGATGGTCTTATAGAACACCTCATTTTGACAGAGCCTGTTGCAACCATGAACCCATATAACGGTTGATAGTGCAGAATTGAAAAAAATACAAGCACACCTGACTGGGCAATAAACGCCACAGACCCAGAAAATGAAGATGCTGCTCAAAGCCCCGTACTAGTTCACGGAAAACATATAATGCTAAAGTAAATCCAAACAGGAGAGCTTTGAACTGCTACATCCGGTCCTCATGCAAAAAATGTAGAAATCGATGAGAAGACTCTACTATGGGGATGTGAAGGTAAGCGTCTTTAACAACAAAATTGGTCATCGAAAGATCTGGTTTGAAGTGCCATCGAAGTTGAAGATTCCATGGTGAAACGGGGAGGCTGTAGGAAGAGATTGAGTTGAGATGGATTGATGAGAAGATGCCAATCTCTAGTGTTCTTGGTCACCAGAAAAAGATGTGAATAGAATACTGGATGAATGGGATCAACCTTCTGAATGGGTAGACTCTGTGGCCACTGGCACCATCCCAACCTTCTGAAGATCCCCAAGAGTACAGATGGAACCCGATTCTGTAAACCAATAAGATGAGGTGTCAAAGGTGGGGGCTGCAAAATGTGAATGATCAATCCTCCAGAATTAACCATTGGAGTAGAAGAGAGGTGAGCAGCCAATGACGATAAAGCAAACTGCAAACGTGCCGTATAAAATCAGGCTTTGAAAGTTTCAGGGACTTCATCAAACTAGTAAGGCAAAAAAAGGGATGCCTCCTAGAAATCATGAATAGGAGTATCACAATACAGTAGTAAGAGTTAAATGAACCCAACAGAATGGAGATCTCGTAAGAGGGATAACAGGTTCTAACCTGGAACCCAATAAATCCAACAACAAATCCACTGTTGAGTGTCTAAATATACTACAGCAAGATAATGATAAGCCAGGGCATGTTGTTCTGATAAATGAGGGAAGCAAGGCACAGCAATACTCTCTTGTAATTGCACTGCAAACATCCCAGCATACATGGCAATATCAGGGGAAGGAGGAAGAACTAAGTAATTCCTCCCAAGATCTATCTGACAATAAAGCAGAGTAGACTCAAAAACAAGGGGGTTAATCTCCAAAGCTTCACAATCTCGTGTAACTAATTGCAGAAGGTGGCCAATCAGATGAGCCCTCAGTAGAGGCAGCTCTAGTGAGAGAAGAAGCAAAAAACAGTGTCCATATTCTCCCCAGTATATTAAAAGCCAACTCTGAACCCCCAGTCAGCATGAAGGACTTCAACTCATCCCAAATCAGGTCATGAACAGCCACAGTGTAGAGTGGACCCCCCCCCTAATAAAACCAGACAACAACAACAAAAAAAAGCCAGACTACTGTCAAAATGCTTCAAAAGAAATTGCTAACCACAAACATAACTCTGTCGAGAAAAAGTGATTATGTTGTCGACATACAGTGCCTGCATAGAGGGCATGTGAGGGCCAATGTAAAGTGTGGCAAATTAGATATTGCCGAGGGCAGTCCAGTGGGGTATAAAGACTGGAGCAAGTGAACACGATGTTTAGATGGCAAAGATGAAGATCGAGAAATAAATATATGTGTCAGCGAAGGTATGTATGTTTAGGAACACCCTGTATTATCATAATAAATTGCTAAGTTGTACCTTTTCTTTTATTTCTGCAAATCACAGTACATGTAATATATCACTACACAATATAGAATAGAGTTGAAAATTCAAACTAGAGTTTATCACATATGCCATAAATGTTGGCTTCAACATAAACTAAATCACAGCTTTTGCTGTCTTAATCAATTCCAAAATTAATGATGCTATAGTCATTTGGAAGCATGGATCTTTCTTCAAGTAAAATATTTTCTAAAAACAGATTTCTTAGCAAATTTAATAAAAGTTAACATTTTCCACTATTGAAAATGTATTTCAAGTACATACCTCTTCACACATCCAGCTTTCCCAATTCAGTGCTGCTTTATGTATGTAATATTTTCACTTGCCAATAACCAAAGATGAGAAAGAGGAGGAAATAAATTTTGAGGGACAGATGTGTAATTCATGTTGTGGAAAATAAGAGCAATGGTTGTTTTTTAGTCAATCAATTAACATCATGAAAATAATCAACTAATCAAAATTAGTGTGTTTCTGATTATTCCAACTATCCAAGTAATCAAAATACTACTATGGTTTCTCATTATTATTTTCAATTAATTCAACTTTATTTTAGATTTTTTAGTTAATGATTTTCTCGTGCATTTTTTCTTTTCAAGTGTTGACTATCCAACCATAATTTTGATCTTAAGATTAAAAATACTT